CCACTATCCACAAGAGTGAATTTTTGTGATTTTATTTTGCTACCTTTATTTTAGTTTCGTGGCTTGATTCTGTGGCCTCTTGGTCTTGATATTACAAATTTAAAAAATTTCTGATGTTGTTGCTCCATCATATATTGAAATTGATCATATCACCTCTTTCTTTTTGTCTGTTTAGCAGCACATCTTTGCACTTTTTTTATATATATATATGTTTAATATGACTTGAGATATGGGCACCATACAACTGCTGCATACTAATATACGTCTAATATATGGCATGTTTTTTTTTTAACATAACATTTCTCTCATCCATCTCTTTTATAAGATCCCTTATGGCTCTAACACAAAAATCTTAGCAAAGTTGTTATTCAGGACTTTCCAGTTAGAAATACATATTGCCTGTTCATTATTTGGTCATTTCTTTCAAGATATTCCTGGTTCTCATCTTCCTCAATCTTCCCTTCTTTGTAAACCTGTCCTTGACTCTCATCCTTTCGATTTCTGCACTCATCTCAGACTTCCCTATAATGATCCCTTTCTCTCTCTCTCTCTCTGAATTTCAGTCTACCCTGGCCTTCTGCGGTTCTACGGCGGCGGGCTCCAATGGCATTCATTATGAAATGCTTCGCCATCTCCCTCCGTGCACGTCTCGGTATTTATTGAGTCTGTATAATCGGGTCTGGGAGTCGTCATCAGTCCCTGAGGACTGGCTCAATGCAGTTGTCCTCCCTGTTCGGAAACCAGGGTCTCATGGGACAGCCGCTACAGACTTTCGCCCTATTGCCCTCACGAGTTGTTTGCAAACTCTTTGAACGTGTGGTTAATGTTCGTCTGATGTGGTTCTTAGAACACTATCACCTCCTCTCCCCTTCTCAATATGTTTTCGCAAGTGCCGCAGCACAACAGATGTCCTGGTGAACTTGGAGGTCTATGTTCGTACTGCTTTTGCTGCGAAAACCTCCGTTGTTGCCATCCGTTTTGACCTAGAAAAGGCTTCCGACACCACTTGGCGATATCATATTCTGTCCCAACTTCATTCTTTTGGCCTTCGTGGTAATCTCGCTCTTTTTTCCAAAGCTTCCTCTCTCGTCGTTCCTTTCGAGCGAGGCTTGGTACCACTCTCTCTCTCTCTGCCTCTTTTCAGCAATACGAGGGTGTGCCCCAAGATAGTGTTCTGAGCACTACTCTCTTTATCTGGTTGCCCTCAATGGTCTTCTTTCCTCTCTTCCTTCTGGTGTCTTCTCCCCTCTCTGTCGATGATCTTGCCCTTTGCTGTCGGGGTGATGATTTGCTTCTTCAACGGTAGCTTCAACTTGCGATTGATGCCGTGTCGTCTTGGGCCAAAAATCATGGCTTCCGGTTCTCTACGTCTAAGACTTGTGCTATGACTTTTACTCGGAAGCGTGTCATTCTTTGTCCCTCTTTGTCACTTTATGGTCAACCCCTTGTGCACAAGAATTCTGTTAAGCTTTTGGGGTTAATCTTTGACACTCATTTGTCTTGGTCGGCCCATATCTCTTACCTGCGAGGTGAATGCTCTAAGGCCCTTACCCTCCTTAATGTTTTGTCCCATACTTCTTGGGGAGCAGATAGGCACGCACTCCTCGCTTTACATTCCTCTCTCGTCCTGTCTAAACTCGATTATGGTTGACCTGCTTACTCGTCTGCTTCTCCTTCTACTCTTCGTCGTCTTGATGCTTTGCACCATACTGGGTTGCGCCTCAGCTCTGGTGCCTTTAGTTCGACTCCCATTCTCAGCTTGTATGTTGACACTGGCTTCCTCTCTCTCCAGGACTGCCATGATCGCTACTGTCTTTGCTATGTTGCGCAGTCCTTGCAACATCCTTCCTCTCGCCTCTGTTGTGCTTTAACTTTTACCCCTCCTGTGGTTCCCGTTCCTCTTCACCACCTCCCTCTTTCTGTTCGGTTATCTCGCTTACAGGATTCTCTTTCAATTTCTATTTCTAATGTATCTCCTTGTGTTGTTCCTTCCTTGCCCACGTGGAGAGTTCTCCTTCCAAAGTTTTGTACGTCTTTAACACGCATCACTAAATCTTTTTCCCCTCCTACAGTTCTGAAACGCCTTTTCCTTGAGCACTTTTCTTCGCCCTCCCACTCAGTTCCCATCTTCATCGATGGGTCTAAGTCTGCAGACGGTGTAGGCTATTCTGTTGTTTTTCCTGACAGCACTTATATATGTCGCCTACCTCCAGAGACTAGCATCTTCACAGCGGAACTTTATGCTATTCTCTGTGCTCTTCGTCTCCTGCTTTCTCGTTGTCAATCTTCCTTTGTAGTTGTCGTTGACTTTCGTAGTGCCCTCATGGCTTTAGAGTCCTTTAATCCGGTCCATCCAGTGGTTGTCGAGATTCAGCATTGGCTGTTTCTTATTTCCAGTAAATTTAAGTCAGTTGAGTTTTGCTGGGTTCCCAGCCATATTGGTGTGTCTTTAAATAAGCGTGCAGATGCTGCCGCTAGGGAAGCTGTTCGCTGTTGTCCCATCTCCCGTACAGGTATTCCTTATTCTGACTTTTACCCAGTTATTCATTCCTCCATCCTTACCCGTTGGTGGGATTGTTGGTCCTCTGTTAATGTTAACAAACTGCGTACTTTTAAGAGTAGTGTGTCCTCATGGCCGTCCTCCTACCACCGTAACTGGCGATGGGAAATGGCTCTGGCGAGGTTGCGTATTGGCCATACACGCTTAACTCACGGTCACCTAATGGGGCGCCACCCTGCTCCTTATTGTCCACATTGCATTGTCCCTCTTACAGTTGTGCATATCCTTATTGAATGTGATGACTTCCAGGACGAGCGTGTGTCTTGTTTTCCGACCGTCCCTCGCGGTCGCTTGTCCCTTGAAAGAATTCTTGGTGAATCAAATACTTTTGATATCATTCGCCTTATGCATTTCTGTTCTTGTATTGGCATCCTTGGTGATATTTAGCACCCTCTGATTATTTCGCACATTTGATGGTGCTACATAGCCTTCCCGGTTTGGTGCCTTCTTTTGATAATTAATTACTTACATACATACCTGACCGCCACCAGGTGGCAAGACCAAATACCCAGAATTTCCAGGTAGCCATGCCTGCCTGCTTTTTTTTTATCTGGGATGATAATTACTTATATAGAAGAGTGTATTTTTTCTTTGACCAGTCATCTGTTTTCTTGCACTTAAGCTTTCTGGTGAGTTTGCCCAGTTTTATAGCAGGTCTCTGATCCCCCCGTTTCCCTTGCCTGAGAGAGTAGGCCAGATTGTGGATATGGCTTTCAATGCACAATGTATGGGTCTCAGAAGCCTGGTGGTACCAGACACACTCTCCAAATGCTACTAGAATCCCACCAGAAATGGACATTCATTATGTTCAACACTTGATATTTATCTTCTTGTTTTACCTTCCAGTACAATATATTTAAAATTCATTGTTTGTATGGAATGTGTGTTCAGTATTATTTTGACTATTCAGTATAGTACAGTGGGGCCTCGACTTACGATGGTAATCCATTCCCAGAGACGGATCGTAAGTCGAAGCGATTTTTCCCATAAGAAATAAAGGGAATTGAATTAATCCGTTCCCCACTCTCCAAAATATTAACTTACAAATACATTTTATACTGAATACAATTTTGTTCTTTAACTTCAATACAGCACATATGTTTATCTTACCTTTATTGCGGACTCTTGATGGCATATGGAAGATGGTGATAAGGGGGGGAAGGAAGAGAGGTGTTACTGTTTGGAAGGGGAGTCCCCTTCCATTATAACATCAGGCAGTGATGACTTCTGGGATACACACTCTGGCATGTTTTCCCCGCATTCCACTAGGACCTGCTTGTGGCTCACTGCTTGCTTGTCTTATTAAGAATCAGTCTAAAAACACTTGTTTTTCCCTACATTTTAACACTTGTCTGTAGTAAGACATCACATTGTCATTTAAAAGGTCAGTGCAACGGCCTGCTACAGCTTTATCTTTGCAGTTCTTCCCATACTTCACACATTTTCTTAATGAGGAAAGGATGTCCTCTACTGCCTCAACTCACAACTATTTTCTTTGGTTGAACCTTACCACTGACTTTCTGCGGCCCATGGCATGATATATAATAATCAGTTTTATGTTCAAAACGCAAAAAATCACCACAAAAAACGGAATTTCTTATAAGCGAGATCGTCACTAAGCAGGCAGCTCTAGTAAACTGAGGCAGGTTGGCCCGCGTGACCGGGAACCACGCGCTCGGTCGACCCAAACATGTACCAACAAATATCGTTAGTCAACGACACTATCGTAACTCGAAATTATCATAAGTCGGGGCCATTGTAAGTCAAGGTGCCACTGTATTTGGGGGCTGGAGGATACGTTGTATGTTAAATGGTTATGGCAGACAGGCAAATTAGATTTCCTCATGAGATGTTAATGTATAAAAATTTTGCTGATTTGATGTTAACTTGAATTTTACTAATAAAAAGTAAAAAAAAATTATTAATTTAACTATAGAATGACAATACAAAATAAGGCAGATGTCAAGATACACATCGTGTTAAGCGGAGAAATAAATTGGCTTAGTAGTAATTTTTTGTTTTTAATTGCCCAGAAGAGAGTAGTGTCCTCACTGCTCCACCAGCAGTGCATTTGTAGATAGCTGAGGTTGCCCCTTCTCATTCATTTTGTGCTCGTCTCGTGAGTATTGATGCAGAAGAGAAAAGCCGGATAAGTGTTGTGGCCTTTCATCAACTCGTGTATTCTGTCTTCAATGTAGGAAAAATAGCTAATAATTTAAAAAAATTGAAAGTTTTACAGTATTTTAATTGATTTTGTTTTAAATATGACATTTTTTGTTAGAAGCACCAGCATTTGTAGACATTAGACATGCTTACACCACCTGAACGATAACCTGCTTAACTTTGATATTATAGCTGTTATATTTGGTGAAACTCGAAGCTCACTACCATACTTGAATAGTGCTTTGATCTTAAATTTTATTGTTGTTTCCTTTTGCAGAGCATCCGCACTGTGTAAAGGTTGGCCATGGTACATGTTAAAGGAGCTGTATCTTCCATCAGAGGTTAACACAAAGGAAAGCATTTATGTTACAGATTAGGTTTATATGGAAATTATTTTCCCAGTACTAAGTGTTCTCAAATATAATATTAGCTAATGAGCTTATTTGTAGATCTTAAATAACATTGACAAGGAATTGATTAAAGTAATACACATACTATATGTGAAACATTAAGTATTTTTTTTTTTTTTTAAGAATGATGTCTTGTTTTTTAACAGTACAGGCATAAAGTACAAGTATTATATTCTTTTACATTCATATTTATACTGTTCTGATTTCTAAGCAAGTGTCATTTTACTATCACTTGCTAGTAAATATGCATGACAGCAGTCATTATAGTTAACTATTACTGAGGCCTTATCAGAACCTTAAATTCCTGTAATCCCCTTCAATCTAGCATTGTTAGAATTGCAGTACTTGCTTTATACTTAGTCGTAAAAAAATGCTGTTTCAAACTGTGGCCATAAATAAAACATGGATGCTTCTTTAGCCATCTTTATTTTATTTGTGTGTGTACATGGGTGCAGTGGTTTATACTATATGTGCATGCATGTGTGTGTACATGTGTGTGTAAAGAAATATGAATATGATTGGTGAATGGATTACTAAAGGACTTTTAAAAATACAGTATAAACAAATGTTATTACTACATATTTGGTCTGAGTAATGTGGGCACCAACTTAACTCAGGCTTGTTCTGAAGTTTCTAACGAGGACAACTTTCTCAGATACAGTACTGTATTTTCTGTGATCCATTATAAAGGGTCACAGTATTCAATGTCCAACAATCTTTTGTGTTGAAGTTTCTCATATATGTATAGACAGAACCATTTTTGAATTTCATTTGGTTACCTCAGGATTGTAATATTAAGTGTCTGATGTTGGTACAAACTGTACTAACAGGTAGCAGTCCTCACAAATTTGTTCACTGCCACACTTAGTTTCCGTTTCTGTTACTTTAATTGTCTGTTATATTTTTGTTAGCTAAGGCTAGAAATTTTGTATTGTTATTATATTATATCGAGTATATGGCTAGAAGTTAGCAGTGAATTAGCTGGTGTAATTTACAGCTTATTCGTGACAAATAAAAGATTCAGTTGAGGGTTCTCAGTCATTTGCAGTTGCCTGGTATATTCCACACACACACACTTTACCAATAAGGTACCCGGGAGTTAGTTGCCTGTTGTGGGCAGTGTTCTGTACCATCCATCACCATCTGCAAAATGTACAAAATAATGCGATAGTGTTCCGTAACTTGATTTAGTTTGTTTACATGCAATGAAAACTTTAAAAATGGAACATGAGTTATATACTGTATATCTTTTGAACATACTTTTATACTGTGCATTCAGCGAGTTTGTCATTATAGTGTTCTGAGCACAAACTCTTGCCTTTACATTTTAGAGATAAATGATGATCCCCTAATTGAAATTTTATTGTGCCCCAATTAGGATACTTTTCATAGTAGATTAGTAAGAACTGAAAAAAAAATCTGTACAAATCCCTTTGATACCAAAGTACTTTAGATACTTTTATTTTGTTGTACAGATCATGATTGCTATAAAACAAGGCAATCAGGCTTATAATTTTTGGCATATTGCAATTTTCAAGTTAACAGTTCATTCTAGTAAGAAAAATAAACCAACTGAATTATTAATTCCTGCTCAACAGCATTGCAGATCGCTAGTTGAGGTTTTATATAAATTTATCCAATTGCCCTTGTGTGAAATTATATTCGTAACTCCAGAATGTTTATACTGTATTCATCTATTGTAAACGGTCATATTTATGGAAATCACTGAAGAATGAGTTGTAGTTTTTGATGCCTACACAGGAGAAAACTTTATCAAATTGCTCTTTGTGAATGTTAAACATATATAATTATATAACATTTTTTCCTCATTCAAATCATATAGCAATTATTCATCGTGTTGAGTGTTACAAAAAGTATGTATATTCTCTATACTTTCTGCTACACATTGAAAAAAAAAATAAAAAAAATAAAATCTTAATGTGTG